TAAATTAAAGCACAGATATATGAATTCCTTCTGAATCTCAAACCTTTCCAAGAATGAAACACTGATATATTAATCAGATCCCGGCTGAAAGACGATTTCCATAAACTCCAGGATAGAACAGGGGAAAGGATTAATCTCATGAATATTGGCTCTTTTGGGTCTGAACTGATACAAACGTCAAGTTTTTAAATTATTCCTCTCAGTTAGTCAGGCAATACATTTTATAAATATCCAGAGCGTTCTCTTGGAGCACAGTTTTAAAATCTATTCAGAATTGGCTTAAAGATATAGTGGAGGATGTTCTTTTTCCAAATGGATCATCAAAATAAGGGGTCCTCCTTATTGTCAATCATTCTGGTGATATGTTTACATAAGGCAGTCTTATGTTTCTGTCCCCATTTGCACTACCGGTGCTGAGTCTGACAAGGTTGAAAAAATCCAAATCTTCTTTTGGAAAGTAAACTTGTATGAGTGATGCAAACAGCAACTTTTAAACAGAGTGTGCACAAGGAGAAATGGGCTCCTGCATGCTCTTGCACGTGTTTAATAGGCGTTCCCTCTCAGGAGCGGGTGCAGGGTTGTGCATGTGCTTTTTTTTCTTTTCAAAAATTAATGAAAATTCTCCATTATACCTTTAAATGAAGGGATTCGCTGCGATCTCTTTATTTCCTGTCAGTCAATCAAATTTTTACAGTTCCTATTTCTATAATTTTCTGCCTTTTAAGTTTTAAATGAGAGGTTGGAAATATTATGTTGAGTAAAGTCACCAAAATGTGTAATTTCAATCGTTTTTTTGGATCTTACTAGTCAGAATCTCTTTGTTTCATCATTTAAGGAGACATTAATGAGGCTGGATTTTTACTTGGAAACAATAAGGGAATAGAGTTGAAGAATTGTTTTAAAATATGCTGATGTTTCAAAAGTAAAAGTTCTGCTAAAAGTTATTGCTGTTTATTGTATTTTATCATTATTTAAAAAACAACTTACTATAGCAAATGAATGTTCCTATCCCTGCTCATGGGAATTGTATGTCCTACTTTTTTCAATCTTCTTTGGTCAGGAGGAAAACAGGAGTTTTTTTTTCATAGACATATGGAATGCATATGCATCTTCCCTGTTTATTATTGTCAGTACATATTTAGATGTTTACATCTATCTTCAGCATGACTACAGATTCTAATTTTAACTTTATAATGTTGTTAAAGCATTTCTATAAAGAGTAGACTCATAGTACTTAGAACAATTGTGTTCATGTCCAGATAAATAAGTTTGAATTTATTGTGGATTTTCTCTAATCCATAAAAGATTAAAATAGCACATATAGGGATAAATATACACATCCATTTAGTGAAATTTGAATAATAATTTGGACAACTTCGAAAATTTAAAAAAAAACTTTTTTTTTTTCCCCCTTTTTTTTCTGTTTTCAGAATTGAAATGAAATTACTGCGATTCCAGTTAGCCAGCTTCTAAACATTATAAGCCAAACGGCCATTAAACTTAGATACATGTTAACATAATTGTTTGAAAAAAATAAAAAATAAACCAGACCAACATCAGTAATTAGAAAACACCTATAGTAGCTTTGTGGAGCATGTTTTTAGTGTTAGAAAGGCAACCATTTTAGATGGACTTTGCCCTTACCAATTAAAAAAAAGAAAAAGAAAAGGTCAATGATCGCCGGTCAATGTTTAACCAGAAGTAATTAAAGACATTATTGGTGGCTATCGAAAAAAAACTGTTTCTCCACAATGTGGTATTAGTAGAGGGGTGTCCATTTAAAAATGTCCTTGAAAAATTAATTCTTATATATCAAATTTTTATTTTGACCAAAAAAAAAAAAAAAAGTTTTCATTCCGTCCTGGGACAAGAAATGGTTTAAATAAACAAAAATGTTTTCTGTCATCACGAAACCCTTTAGAATTATGAAGGAAATAACATTTTACAGTAAGCCTTCTATTAAATACAAATATTTATCCTAAAGGGTCTGTTTTATAAGAGATATCCCTTTGGTGGTCAGATAAGCTGAATTCAAACCAAACACACAGTATCTGTACATCAGAACCCTTCTAGGAGGGGGTCATATTTGCAGGTTCAGAAAGAGGATTCACACATGTGGCCAATTGTATGCATTACAGAGTCTAATAAGTGATAGACTGTAACTGTAATACATCCACAGACTGTCTGCCTTGATGCTTGAGTCTTTCGGGAGATGATCTCATCATTAATCACTCTGTTCATGGTTCGATTTAGTATACCGTATTATTTTAGGTTAATACATCACACAGCATTTAAATCAGAGTTTTATATGCCTGCCTCTTCCATTTAGACCCAGAGTCAGCTAAGGGTTGTCACGGCAGAACCAGATGCATCAGATGAGCTATTCTTGGATTGTTTTCCCAGTTTGCTGGTTTCCTAGTGCCTGAAAAGTGTGCTCTGGGAAAATAGATCTTGTGTCTGGAATAGATCCTTAGCATGGAGCTGTGCAGTTGGCAGACTGAAAGCGAAAAATAAAAATGTATGTAAATGTAGATCAGAGCTCATGTAGCTGTCTTGATACTGTTTGTTGACAGTCTACAAATATGACCTTTTATTTGAAGTGTTTAAAGAACAGAGCCACTATTTAAAAACAAGTTGTTCTGTTCAAGATGCGACTAAATCTTAAACCGTTTGGCCTACATGTTAAACTTTATGTGGAAGGAAAACTAACACTTCACATAACCCTTACCTATCAAATCTGGTGGTTGCAGCATCATGCTGTGGGAATGCTTTAAAGATAATTTTTTCCTGTTTGCTTCACCATTAAGTGCTAGGCTTTGTTGTGCACTGATGTTTGTGATTCTAATGCAGGCTTGCCCCAACTCGATACTTGCAGCTTTTAGCGGTTTTATTAATTGCATTTCAGCTAAAGCCTGCTAATCAGCTATCAATGAAAATCAGCTGTGCTGGAGCAGGAAACCTCTAAACCCTGCAGGACAGTGGCCCTCAAGTACAGAGTTTGGGAAAATTACCAAATTGGAAAAATTTTCATTGGCAAAAAGAGTTATTTAAGACACTATAATTAAGCATTACTGCACATTAAGGCATGTTTTAGAGGAGTGGAATTGTACCAGAAAATGTCTTTTCCTAGCCTTTGTTTTAGTGATAAATTAGACCTGACAAGAAGTTACACAAAAGGCTTGTTCTATAGTGAGATTAGTTTTTTTTTTATTTGGTAATGTTGTTTGCACTAGCATTGCATTAGGTTTTAGTTAAACTTAGACTGTCTCTGCTTAAGAACAAAACAAACATATATGAAGTTAAAACTCTTCTTATTGGGTCCAATATGTGTTGTCCTGGTGACTGCCCTACTTTTTACATTCACACCTGTGGCACCTTTGTTTGGATTTAGGCGTAACTCAGAGCCGTGGAATTCATACAGTTATTCCTGAAACTCCTGCATTTATTATGATGCAATATTTTTGATTGCAGATAATATACAATGTCTGGTTCAATGTAAATTGCTATGCCTTTCCACCTTTGAATATTGAGCTGCTAATCTTGTTAGATGATCGTGACATACAATACATATTCCATCCATTCTGGCTTCTTGTGCTGAGAAGCTACATGTTTATCCACTAAACCAAAAATGGTGGAACCAGAGTACAGAATGGTAGATTTGACAATGCTAAACAGCTTTCACAATAACATTTGTCATAACATGTACAAGACACAAATATCCAGTTCAAACACTGCAAGCAACACAATGCATACAATTCAAATTGTGTTCAAAAATCACATAGATTTTGTTTAGACATGTGTAGAATTGCAAACCTCTATCTTGAAAAGATATTTGTCTATTTCCTAGTGTGACCTCTAATTAGCAAAGAGATTTAGCTGGTTTTGTGCTTGCTCACAGATCAGTCTGTCAACCCCCCCTCACTAAAGTATAAAACCAGGAAAATAGACCTCAATTGTCTCCACAAAACCCACTTGGATGATGTGAGAAGAAATGCACTGTGTATACATGAAATGCATGCATTTGCTCAGAAGGTTGTGTTTAAATCCTCATCAGGACCTCTGCTGAAGCAATGGCCGTCTCTGATCCCCCTCCCTCTTCAACTGCACGTCTAGACGTATAGTGTTACCCATCACCACTTTCTTTCCTGAACACCACCCGCCAGATCATAGCACTCTGATTTTCAGCTAACAAAACAGCACCCGTAGCCATTTCTTTCTTCTTATAGGGTCTTGGACCTGTGGCCTGGCTTGGTGTGCTGCCCAACCTGCCACCACTGCCTTGCTTTTATTGGAAGCAGAGCTAAATGTTTGTTTTCACTGCACTGCTGGGAATGAGAAATGGGGGGTACCTTGCTTTACCTTCGAGTGGGGCCTCCAGGATGCGTGCGGAGGAAAAATTGCCCTGTGCACACAATATACGGGCAAGCACGCCAAGAGTCAAGACATCACAGCTCAAGGACCTTGGATTTCAGCCTCAGCTTTTCTTTTCTTAAACACAACAGCCTTAAATCCTAACAGCTGCTTCTGGTGTTGTGGTTTGGGGTACTATAATGGTAAAGAAGAATTGTAGATAAAGTTAAATAAGCCCAGACATAAAACAGGGCTCATATGTTATCTTTACCAAAATATTGTTGGTAAACATTGGTTACCATAAGGTTCTCATGGGCTTTTTAGAATAACTAGGCTCTACTTATCAAATGATATTTTCTTTACTTGTTTCCCAGTACAGCCATTATATGCATTATATTGTCTAATGGGAAATATGTTAAATAAGTAGGACTGTGACTAACAATTATTTTGCAAAACAATTAATCTTGATTATTTTTCCGATTAATAATCGGATAACCAAAGGTTTCTTAAAGAAGATTTTTTACAGAATCAAACCTAATGAAACTAAAATGTTTCTATTTGTCCAGTTCACAATAGAGTAGACGTAAAAGTTGTTGTTTTTTTTATCTTAAATGCTAAATGTTTATATATGTCGTACAATTAAAAAAATAATAATTACTGCTCTAAGTGGGTTGCTCTGTCAGCTAAAGGCATGTTTCACAGTCTCTATACTCCATTTAGCAATTAATAGATTACTAAATTAGTTAGTTATTTCAATAATCGATTAATCATGTTTAATCCAATTGCTTCAGTCCTGAAAGCAACCTTTAATTTATCATGTAGCTTTCTCAAAATAAGGGGTTGTGTCTCCTGGAAAAAAAACTGATGGCATCCTTCTCCATCGCCTTAAAACTGCTTAATATCGAACCATTTTTAACCTTAAAGTTTTTTCATGATCCAGAGATCATTGTTCAGGATTAAATGATCCATTCAGTCCACCATAGACTCCCATTTCCCACTTGTAGTTTGTCCTGGCCTTGTCCAGGCCTGCAAATAGCATTACAAGCTAGTTATTCTGTCTTTATTACATGTCATCATAGCTTTATGGATATAAAATTAAGGTTGTGTCTCATTGAAGCTTGTTGAAGCTTCTTCAGTTGTGTAGTTTGTCCATCACCCGGAGAACATCTTCCAGGATCGAAGGGCCCAGGTCAAGACTGAAAGAAAAGCCACTGTCCTCTTCATTAAATCCATCGAACTGTTCAAAGCTCCCTGTAAACTCTCCTTCCCTATCCGAACCCACGCTGCCACACCTGCGAGTCTGATTAGAAACAAAGTTATTACTTGTTTCTTCCCCTTCCTCATTTTCACACTTATCTTCTTCTTCACTGTCCAGTAGAGGCAACGAGCTGCACTTCTTCCTCTTCTGGTCCACAGCCCACTCGGGGCTCTGTGCACCCCCACTTTCATCCAGATTCAAACGAGGGGGCTTTGGCGGTGGCTTGCAGTTCAGGAAGAGGTTCTGCTCACTCTTGGAGCTCTGCCGAAGCAGACCCTGACCCATCTTAAGGAAGGATAAATCCCCAAAACTGTCATTTTGGCCGTTGATTCCAATGTGAGTGACGTGGCGGAAATCATCAAGAGGTAGACTGATCATGTTGACAGAAAGCACTTCTCTCCTTTTTGAGGTCCTGCTGGAGCAGTGGCTCGAAGAGGAATTTCTTTGCAGGGATGTTTTAAGTGGCATCCTGATGGATTTGCTGGGGATAGACTTCCTCCTCTGTAAATACTGCGGAAGGGATGCAGACTAAATGTATAATAACATCTACAAAGAAAAAAGAAACACACACAAAAAAGACAATTAGGATTTACACGAATGATAGTCTGAAGCAAGTCCAAGCTTGTGCTTCTTCTGGTATTCAGCACCAGATGTAAGCGCTGAGCTCTGCTGTCGGTTTTAATCAGAATTGACAGCCATTGTTTAGAAGACTGCACCTGTTGGACTTGTTCTTAGTCTAATGAAATTCAGTATTATTTGGCTGCAGAGGGATGGCCCAGCAATGCTTTGAAACCTTTGTTTATAAATATTTATTTTCCCAAAGCCTAGACTCTTCCCATAAGCACAGGTGTGGTCTTCTGCATATCCTCCAGAGGAAGTCTATTAATCTACTTAAGAATTCCAGTAACAAAAGCACAAAAATTAAAACAACAAAAGGGTAATAGCTCAGTTTGTTGGAATCCCCTTACAGTTTTTAAAGTAGGAGGTATTCTTCTCTGCAAATCTAAATGGCTTTGCTGCGGAAAAAAATAGTGTAATGAATTAAATCTTTATTTGTAGTGACCTCAGATAGTGATGTAAAGTTAAATTAGATGCAGATATTACTCAGCTACTATAATTTTTTTTAGAAAATGTTATGGTTCCTATGAAATCCTGAAGTGTTTTGTATTTTAACTAACTAAATGCCTGAATGCGCTCTCATTGAAATGTTACCACCGGTTCTATCTCAAGATAATTTTAGAGTGAGCTTATATTCGACCGTGATTTCGTAAAAACGCTGTTTTTAGGAATTTTTATGAATAAGGCGAAATGGAGAAACATTTCAATTTGAACAGTTTTAGATATTAAAATTGAGCTGATTTAAATCCAGATGTCAGCAAAACAGGGACACACTATGTTTTTCTCTATATTCTGTTTAACCCAAGTCTTAAATAACTCTGTTTTGAATATTTGATGTCAGACATCATCTTGTATAAACTATATACTACAAAGGAGGAAGCCTTTGCATTCCGTGACTTGTAAGCATTTTATTTACAAAACCAGAACTCTGTTCATCAACCTCGGCATGCAGATTAGATAATCTCCTGGGCGTTTTTGGATTTTTACAGTCTCCTCATAGCTTTGCCCTCTTTAGCTCCACATTCGTGACTTGAAACACTAACTGTGAATTTGTAAGCCGCCTCAACAAACATGCTTCGTCGGCCCGTAAAGGGTTTTATCGGCACTTTAGCAGCAGCAGGAGGTTGGAAGTGCGCGGACACAACAGCATTCCTTTCCAAACATGTCAGGTCAATCAAAGAGGAGTGGTACAATTCAGCTGTGAGGAAACACCTCGTGGCCAAGTAGAAAGTTGGCTTATTAAGACGGATTAACCAAAAAAAACAAACGCAATTTTTGATATTGCTTTTCTTTAAGAATAATTACTTTTGCTCAGCTTAGAGTTCAAAATAAATAATTTGAAGAGTTTCCTCCCCAAGAAGAATGTCTAGAATGACAAAGAAATGTAAAACAGATGAATATTTATATATATAAACTTACCATTCTTGGTGTAGTAAAGAAAAATACAGCATATTAAAAAGACCACACATGCACACCCTTCTCAGTCAGGAATCTAGGCTGCTTCTAACTGCTTTCCCTGGTAAGCTCTTCTTCAACAAGATGGGACATGCCATCCATGGGAGAGAAAAGTTATTCCTCAGCTTTTAGAATGCTGAAACAATCTAAAATCTGTCTATAGATGTAACTCTGAAAGAAATAATACGCTACTTTAACTGAAAATAAACAAATTCTTACCTTTCTCCTCTTTTGGATAGACTTTTAGTTCATTGGTAATGAATCCTGTTTTTGAGGCGGTGTAAAATCCGGCCTGCTTTGCAGATTTTCCAACAGGTGTGTTTCTTCTGAATGTCCTCTTTAAGTGAATGATAAACCAGAGGAGGGCAGAGTACAAGGGCATCCAGGTGAAGGCTTTCCTCCTGTGTTTTTTTTTTTTCTTACCTTAGCTTATGTAAAGTGGAGCAGTTTCAGAAAGTCTGCAGTTCATGAGAATACATCATCCTGACCGCAGAGCAAGTCTGCCCTGGAGTCCTAGGTGTTACCGTTGAGTTTTGCTCTTTGATTGGCTGCATTCTTTACCTGTGGGGGGAAGTAGGTGGAAAACAGAAGCTCCTCGGTTTTTTTTCATTTGTTATTAGAAGAGATCGAAACTTTGCCAGAGGGCATTTAGTTCAAGAGAAATGTTTCAGAGGAAAAGATGAGAAACAAAATTAGCTTGTGTGCTTATTAAAGGAGCTAGTTGTAGAGCAAACATGTCAGTCACAAAGAGGAGAACGGGGGGTTAACTTGTCTCTAATCTCCATGCTATTGTCCCATGGCTCTACTGAGATCCTGATTTCCTGTCTGTTGTTTGTTAGTGTAAAGCCCCCCCAGCCCACCCCTCTCCACAGGCTCTTCTGCCTGACTGGAAGTTTTGGGATCCTCTGTATAATCAAACCACAAAGACATGTCCAAACAGGCGTAGTGGGTTTCACAACAGAAATAACCGGTTGCGTTTCCAATTCTCACGCCTCCAACGTGTTGTCTCTGCCCTGGCATGGCAAGGCTGTAACGGTCTGTAAACTGTCTCCAATAACAGGTTTGTTTTCTGCTCTGCTGTACTGATTCCACATAGTACACGACCAGAGGTGCATTTACTTTTTCAGCTTTACAGTTTACAATGAGGGGGGAAAAAATTCCTGATATTCCATGGAAGATTCCATGAAGGTATGAAGTCTAAAGCAACAAAAAAACACTGTTAATTACACATGAACAGTCGGCTCATCTGATGCTCTGTTGGGAGAAATGGAACGAAATTCTAACAAACTTTTGTGGAAAGTACAAACAGTATGACCAAAGTCCTACATTTAAATGACAATTTGACCAAAATCTAAAGATATGTGTTTATAAAATCTTGACTAAAAGAACGTCATAAAATATCCTCTAAAGTTCTAAGTCTGTCATTATTTCATGAGAATCAATAATTTTGGTAATCCTAACAGACATAACAGTAGAAGTTTAGGCTAAATTAAAGCCAAATAATGGGAATAAAACAGATCCGTGCCTTTTTAATCTGGTTCATGTAAACATCGTGTTAAAGCTGCTATTTTGTTCAAATACTTCTAAAACATTTAAGCATTAAGATGAAGGGCGTGTGATTATCTTTTGAACATCTTTGCCTTGTTCTTTGAGTTTAAATATGCATGTTATGAAGGAGAAAGCCTTTCTTCTCTCAGTATTCCTTTCAAATTCATCCAATAAACAAAAAGCTTGCCAGCGTATTCTCCTCTTCTCCCGCTCTGTGCTCCAGTGCCAGCACAGTCTCCTAGACCAGACACAATTACTCAAGCAAATGAAACTAACCTCTTGCCAAGTCTGAAAGAGAACGTTTTGCAGCATCTTTTTCTCTGAGAAAAGTATCCCTGTTCCACCTACAGCCGCAAACCTGCTTGCATACTGGAAGACCACCAGGTTGAAGCTTCTGCGTTATCTGCAATGTTTAGTAAGAGCCTCAGAAGACTAGAGTCAGACTGAGGCTGGGCTCTCTGTTAGTGGTGCTCTCATGCCATGTAGCCTGCAGGCTGCTTTAGTCTGAGCTACATTTCTAAGCCTCTTTCCTAATGCCTGACCATGGTGGGCAGTGTGGTTTGATGAAGCTATTGTTGGGTCTGAAATCATGTTTTTCATCCTTTTCGCAGAAGAAAAACTGTTTCCAGATATTTCTTTGACTGGTGCTAGAAGCCCAAATTGAGGCTTTGGTGGATACTCCTCTAGCCCTTTGTTGTGTGTTCTCCAGCTTCTGCTGTGCTAAGGCTCCTAGACGGCCCACACTTAGACAGGATTTATTGCTTGCTTTGTCTGGGTCCTTTTAATTAATACATTGTTTGATTGTGTCTGAAATGGCGCACATAGCTTTATTGAATATCTCAGCCTGTACTGCACTCATGATTCTCTCAGACTATGAAAACCTCAAAATGAGCTGCATTTCACTAATTAAGATATGCTTTGTTATTTTGCTCTTAGCAAACACCCTTTTTTTTTTAACTGTATCTGATGTTTTGCGTACAAATGGAACAGACCGCTTCTTAAATTTAAACAGTTCTTGGTCATTTAACATTTGACATATTTTTAACCATAGACAACTTTTAAACTTTCTTTTTAAATTAAGATGAGATGCCATGTCTAATTAATTGTAATCTCTTCTACTCCAACTGTTTTAGATCAGTTTTATTTTTTCCCCACATGTACTAATAACAAATAATCCCAGTAGTCTGAGGGGAGCAATACAGACTAGTGTTTTCTTTCTTCTTCTGTATGGAGATGCGTTTCCACCAAAATTAAGTAAATTAATACATAAATAAATAAATGCTGCTATTGATTGATTAGAAATAAAGATTCTATTGAATAAATACACGTCACCATGAAGCAAATCTGAATACTTTAAAATAAAATGATCTTATTTAGTTACATAAATTAAGTAATTGAATAATTTATTCTTTTCATAATGGAGTTGTGGATTTTTTTTTTTGTTGCTCTTGTATTAGTTAAGTCTGTTTCAGTGACTTATAATTCCTTTTAACTCTGTTTTTCAATGTGGTGTGGTTTATCTTTGTGTTTGTGCTGGTTAGAAGTCAGCAGTTCAGAGGGAAAAAAGGAACTAGCTTGCAAAATAACAAACGAGAGAAGAAGAAAAGAATTTATCCCAAATTTTTGGCGACCGTTTGCAGAAGGTTTCTAATCTTTCTAAATTTAATCAACTGATTTACAATGTCTGCAAACAGAAGCGTCTCAGACTCATTGAGAGAAGCTGCAAACATTCTTGATGCAATGGTAGTGCTGCAGATATCTGGTCTAAGTCCTGTACTAGGAATATCAAGTCGCCACACAGGTACCCCCCCACCATTTGAACATAAGTGCATTAAATAAAAAGAGCTTAAAATGAAAAATGGAAGTGAATAAATATG